CCCGCTCTGCAACAGCTGCCGCTGCTAAGTGAGTTACTAGCCGTCAGACTGCCTTTATGTCACACAATCACACACACATACGCATGCATTTTCCTGTCACATGTTGCCTGTGATGGATGTTGTGAGGCTATAATGCACTGCAACAGCGCAGTAGAAAATATGTGCCATCCTCCACTTTTGGCCTTTAAATTAAATGATTGCTTAAATGAACGGCATTTCATGTGTGCAAAGAGTGAACGCTGATTGGGTTGTTAAACAATAAGTTATTTATCACTCCACAACTAGCTGCAGCCCCATTAAAGGGCGAGGCCATGATACAAAGCAATGACTTAGTGTTTAATGTCTGCTGTCAGATAAAATGGGAAACACAGCTGGGGGTAGATAGTGCCAGGGATCAGAATGTCATCAACTGTTAGGATGAATTTGCTAAATACCTCATGAAAGTTAGATTATTTAAATAAATAAGCACAGGAAACCGAGGGGTTTTGATATATTTCAGTCTGATTAAAAATGAGAAGATTCTTTTTTAGTGGACTCATTAAAATACAATTTGTCCTTCTTCCATAAGCAGCGTTATGATCTTTTAGTTGAGCCGTGCCGTGCCATACCATGCTCATTTGTATTTCCAATGCATCCCCACAGCAGGGGCTTACTTTGCTGACTCAGTATTATAGCAGGACAATATTATATCCCTAATCCTTTGCAAGGCCAAAGCTTGACAGTCCTCCCCCTTAACTAAGCTGGGACGTCAAAGTAACCAGATTGGCTCAACTTGTGTTATTAGGAGAGCCACTGGAGACAAGGCTCAGTGTTTACTCTATAATCTTCAGCTCCACTAAAGCTGCTGCCAGTTTTGTTTCATGACCTAACCTTAATTTCACACACAATGTACCTCTCTTTTCTGTTGGGGTATGACATTTGTGTATTCTACAGTATTTCTCAAATACTGGCACTTGAATTGCTTTATTTGTCAATCATTCAAAAGGACTCAAGTTATTAGAAATATGAAGTATTTGAGATTGTGAGGAAACAAGCTTGAAATGTGATATTCAATATGATATGCTGTAAAACATTTACAGGGAAATGGAGTGATAGTATGTATTTTAAATGTCACCTTGCTGCTGAAGGTGAAGTGGTAGCAAAAAGACATCACCTATCACTGTCAGAGATGGCAGCTCTCAGAAAAACACACTGCCTCTCCCCCTGCGCTCTTTCGACAGCATAGCCTGAATATTACTGCTGTATGTAGAGACGAATAGAGGAGAGGAAAGGAGAAGAGGAGGATGTATAAAAGATTTGATAAGAGAGGCACGCTAATATCCCCAGCAGCATAAATACTAAGTATGTGCAGATGGGGGAACAGCGAGTATGGGAAGTGTAGAGAAGAGACATTGCAGTCCAACATGGCCTGGAGCTTTGTTTCAGTATGGACAGAAGAGAGGACAGGGACAAAGGAAGTGGAAGAACAGAGAAGGTGCAGGATAATAGGATGAGTAATTTAGTGGGAATGCTGACACAGCATTCCAACTATCTGTTATGCTACGCACAAATGCTTTATTATTCCGCCAGGTTATTTTGCGCCACTTCTCCCCCCGCATTGAACATCGCAGAAACTCTGTTCAAACATCAAAACGTTCAGCTCGGTCGGGAATCGATGGCTATTACTTTTATCATTCATAACTTTCATAATTCTAGAGATACATCCCATAATTCATCACATTTTTAACATGGAAGTCAATGGAGAAATCTTCAGACTTCAACAATCTTCATGCAACTTCAACTGCTAACTGCTCCTTCTTCAACTGCTAACCGCTCCTTCATACTTTCACTCAGAAACCTAATTCCAACTTTAAAATGTTACACATCTTTCTGACATTATTCGTGTAAAACAACTTTTAAATCTGATTCTTACTTTTAGAGATATTAAACATTGTTCAGACTTTGGTAAAGAGGCCTTCTTCAGATTTTAGAGTGCGTGATGTCACAGCTAGAGTGGAGGACAGATTTAATTTTGCCTTCATATTTTCTTTTAAACCTGCCATAATTCCCAAACCCTACATTCCTGAGACATAATTTTTCATGAGAAACGTAGGAAAACATCTCGTAGCTTGAAAGATAAAAAAAAAATTAAGCAAAATAATTAAACAAAATGCCTCTTGAGGGCATGAAGTGACAAAAACTTTCAACATGTCTCCATTAAACCCCATTGTAAGTTCAGCCTCACCTTTCCCCACCACAGCAGCCGCACACCTTTTGTTAATCTGCCAAAAAGGCCACAACCCGAAAGTACACAAAAAGTACACTTCAGATGCTCAAGTTCCTTGACATGCTTCACGTTTTGAAATTTCACCGATATCTGTTACGGTTCTTCAACAAAACGTTCACATGTAACAGGTTTATCTCTCATTCAGAACAATGAAAATGCTCTCCTCTCACTGATCACCATGGAAACCTTTGATCTCTGGACACGTCGTTAGCTCAAATATAAACACCTGTGTCATGGAACACGATGATGTCATAACTCCAATTGACATAATTAGAGCAGCAGACTAATGACGTGGTCACTGGAGTTTAACACTGTCTCAGCCTATTCTTTTCCGTCTCATGGAGACTTCTATACTGACTTCAACATGTTCCACATATTTTAGACATTATTGGTGACGTATGCTTTTAGTTCTAAAGTTTTCAGTTCAAATATTCTGCTGCTTTTTCATGCATTTAGACTTTTATTTTCTTGTTCTTATTTCACATTCAAGTCCCCTCTATTCATGAACCCTTTAAAGTACTCAGCCACACCACTTATATACCAGGTGTGACTGTTGCTATGTGAGTTAATCTTTCAAATACAAGGTTGCTTGTTTGATTCAAGCTCTTGTAGTCAATATGTCAAGGTATTTATCCCTAACATTTTATCAGCTAACTAATGACACACACTCAGAGGATCTTTATAAACGTTTTAAGTATTGCACATCTTTAAACATGACTCTTATAAATCCCTTTTAAAACCAGCGATGCACTACAGTGTCAGCTTTTCTAAAATAGAAACTTCAATGTTCACATCTTTCTAAATGATTCTACTTTTCAATGATCTACAAATAATCCTAATAATAATTCCATTTTCAATCTTCCAACTGTTCATATGTTTTGGTCAATTAACAAACCTGTTACAAAGGTGTTGTTCAACAAATTTGAGCCTTTGCCACATGTATTTGATCACCATGGAAACCTTTGATCTCTGGACACGTCGTTAGCTCAAATATAAACACCTGTGTCATGGAACACGATGATGTCATAACTCCAACTGAAATGCTCAGAGCAGCAGACTTCAGATAATGGTTAATGGTCCTGCCCTCAACAGCTCTACGTCAATTATGGGGTGTCATCATATGCTGTTTCCATGGAAACGCATCCCTCGCCATAAAACACGATGTCGCTGTAACTCCAATGCACACGGTGCGATCGTCCCCCAAACTTTGCTTGTACATCACCTCTCCATGCCTTAACAGCTTTACGTCAAATCTGACATCTCACCATATGCCGTTTCCATGGAAACGCATCCCTCGCCATAAAACACGATGTTGTCGTAACGCCTATGAAAAGGGTCGAAACAGCACCACACTTCAGATAATGGTTAACGGTCCAGCCCTCAACAGCTCTACGTCAATTATGGGGTTTCATCATATGCCGTTTCCATGGAAATCCCTCGCCATAAAAGACGATGTCGCTATAACTCCTATGAAAATGTTCAAAAAGTGCTCAAACGTCTCATGTGTGCTAACAGTCCAGCCGTGAAGACATCTACGGGACAGTTTTGAGATTTCTTCAAATGCCGTTGCCATGGCAACACAATGCTCACCATGAAACACGGTTTTCTCATAACTTCAGTGAAAATGCTCCAAATGGCCCAAAACTTCACAGGTTTGGTAACGATGCAGCCATGAACACATCTAAGCGTATTATGGGATGTCATCAAATGCCGTTGGCATGGCGACAGATCATTCACCATCAAGTTAGTTCAAAAGTTTGCAGTTCAAATATTCTGCTGTTTTTCCAAGCCTTTTTACTTTCTTTTCTTCTCTCATCACACATTCAAGCCCCCAGTGTTCATGTATCATTTCAATCTAAATTCTTCACTTTCTTCTTACACATTACATTTCAGCATAGCAGTTTAGCGTCAGCTTTTCAGCATAAAGCATTCCCACTAGCAATTTCTTCAGGAATTGCATTCTCTAGTATTACAGTATATGATGCACTGCTTAGGTATGGAGAAGCAGCAGAGGACAAAAAAAGGAAAACTGATGAGGAAAACTATAGAAAGGCTAGTATTCCTTGTCTTAGAGAACAAAAAAGCATTGATGTCATACAGAACATCACTGTTGAAGAACTTAAAATATAACAGCATATAAATGACATTTGAAAGAAAATTAAAAGTCAAAACACTCACTGTCCCACTGATAAAAGCCCTTGCATTTACAATAGGGCTGCAACTAACGATTATATACAAAATTATTAAATCTGCAGAATATTTCTCGATTAGTCATTGGCCTGTAAAGAATCAGCAAATAGTAAAACAATTATCATCACAGTTTTTCAAGGTCTTGATCTGTCAGTCCAAATCCCCCAAATGATGTATCGTAATATGATTTAAAACTGAGAAAAGCAGGAAATCTTCAAATTTGAGAGAGTGATATTTTTATTTATTTTTTGCCATCAATGGATTAACAATTTCTATAAACACAAGTTGACCTTTATATGCAGATCTAAAATGCACTAATAGTAGCTCAGTGTCTGTGGCGACATTATCAGAAATGGCTTCACTGTTGAGATTTCTGGAAAGTTAGGCCAAGCAACACATTTACTGCCTACAGCCATTGGTACCTCAAAGTGGAGATCTTGAAATAGTGTCCAAATCATCAATAAAAGGTGCTTCATAAAATATTATAAAGACCAAGAATGGAACTGTGTTTTAAACAATGATGTGATGCTTGTTTTCTCTTTAGGTTTCATCTGCTGTGGGCAGGAGTATATCAACTCTTCAACCTCGCTTTGCTGTGTTGGTAAAGACGGAAATCCCAGCATGCACCCTGCTGGCAATGAGACGGTGACACTGCAGTGCTGTGGGTCAAAGGTCATACATCAGGAAGAGGAATGCTGCAATGGAATTGGCTATGACCCTCAACGACACGTGTGTGCTGACAAACCCACACCCGGCCTGCTGATACAGGTGTGTGTGTGTGTGTGTGTGTGTGTGGTGTTGTGTGTGTGTGTGTGTGTGTGTGTGTGTGTGTGTGTGTGTGTGTGTGTGTGTGTGTGTGTGTGTGTGTGTGTGTGTGTGTGTGTGTGTGTGTGTGTGTGTGTGTGTGTGTGTGTGTGTGTGTGTGTGTGTGGTGTGTGTGTGTGTGTGTGTGTGTGTGTGTGTGTGTGTGTGTGTGTTGTGTACATTTCAATGTGTCACTGTTTTTATGTATACAGTATACACTTAGTAGAGAAAGTTCCATATATTATGAGACATGAAGCACACATTATTTTTATTTTTTCTAACAATTTTTAATTCATAGATGTTCAGTGTTGCCATAGCATTTTAGATATTTGTTTGCCAAAATATCGGGCCTTCACACGTCTACTTACATGTTAAGCGGTTATCAGCAGAGGAAATGTCTCTCCCTCTCCCAAACTCACACTCATTGTCACATCAGGAGTTGGGGTCTGGGCCATCTTCCATTTATCAACCGGGGTCATGTGGTGTTTGTGTGTTCCTAAGTCAGCATGAGACAGGCGCTGCATACACACATACACCATCAGAGGTGCACACACACAGGGACAAAGGGTAGGAACTCTCATTAGCTCTAATGATGTCATTAAGGACCATTCTTACCACACACAAACATACACACATGTAGCAAGAATCTGCATGTATCGTGTGTTAGACACAGAGAGGCGCTTTAGAATACATATATAAAAAATTGTGTCTTTCCTCCCCTGACTTTGCTCTTCACTGCTCTCTTACCATAACCTTGTTTTTTTTTGTCGTCTCAACTTCTCTTTTTCCCCCACTTTCTCCATCCTTTTCTGGCCCTTCCTCCCTCCTCTGCACAGCGCCAGTGTATGCAGGGCGCCGTTTGTCCTGTAGCCGCAGCCTCTACAGCTTACTGTGGCTCTTGTGACCTCGATCCATCTACGACCGCCTGCACATGGCTCCTGTCTGCTCACACACAGCCTGACACACCCAACGCAACAGACTCACCTTCCATCAACATCACTCATGAAGCTCTCTCTCAGGGTCTGTCTCCACATGCAAACAGAAGTCATAATACATTCAAAATGGCATACGAGAACCTGCAACTTGATGGGAGCCTGTGCGCGTCACATGAGGAAGTTGTGTACAGCGGAGATGCCAAAAGATACACCTATACAGGTAATTGGTGTGTTTGTGTGCTGTTGTGTTTTAAACAGGCTGGCTGCAGTATGAAGAATTACCAAACTAGTGATTTTCCATAGCAATAAGCATAGTTCATTATTAGCATTTGTCTTTGCTTTTCCTTTAACTTTCTTCAGTGTTGGGTGTCTGTGGTAACAAGCCTATACATAAGGAGACAGCTTATGCATTTAAAACGAATAGTTGTTTCCACCATAAAACTTCCGGTGTTTCATGTTTCCAAAATGTGTCCTTTACCTCTCAAAGTCTGACCAGTGGTCATTTATGTCTCCTTTTCCAATGACTGCTCTTCTATGTTGGCACTGCTACAAACATGTACTCTTGTTAACAAGAAAAATCGAATGACTTTTACTTGCCTAAACATTTGGAAGTGTCGTTGACACAACTCTAAAATAGCTGCAAAAGCTCAGAGGAAATCACATGATCCTTTCTGGTGTCATCATACATCTGTAATAAGAAATGTTGACCATTCATAATCTACCTGCCTGTTTCTGACCTTTGACTTTGTGTGGAATAAGGACTCTCACTTCAGTCCTCAGAGCCACTATGAAGAATATTTAATAAAGAAAAAGCCATCTGTAGAAGACACCGCTCATAGAAATGTTGTGCCTTAGGAAACCAATTGTGCATTTTACTCTAAATGTGTAAGACGCTGCAATCAATGGGCTTTGGAGACAGATGCCCTTCCACACACTCACACACACACCAGGACAGCTGTGCAGTGTACATTGAAAGCTGTTAACGTGGTAACTCTCTCTGCGCTGCTCACTTGTGTGTCATTAAAACTTAGAGATGGGCGTTTAAATGCCATTTCAACATTCTCTACTATTTATCAGCCCAAAGGGACTTGGAGTGTGTGCGTGTGTTGGTTTGTGTGGGCGTGTGTCTGTCCACCCATTATTTATCTGGGTAGTTACGTCTGTTTAATCAACACTAATGGTGGTTGTGGATGTTATCACTGTGTATGGGTGGTTGTGCAATAATTACATGTTTTTATACGTGTAAGTCCTGAGTTGGTTACCATTTTGGTCTGCTTCTGTAGTGAGTGGTGTTTTGTGTGTGTGTTTCTTTTACTTTGTGTGTGTGTGTGTTGCATGGGGCGGTTAGGATAAGAGTTTCTAGGCAATGCTGTGACACCATCTGGGCAGAGGCACATAAAGCTGTCGCCACCCACCATACACCAGATGTTTTTCATGCACACACACTCTAACACACACAGGGTATCATGCTATACTCTCTTAATCCTGAAGTAGATCACACACAGATAGCTCCACATGTGCAATGAACTCTATAGATATTGTATTGTCTTCTTTTTTTTCTTTTTTACTTTTGAAAATGTGTCTTTAATCAAACACACACATTCAGCTTTCGGGTAAATATCCATGTACAGGCATTCAGTGTCTTATTTACATGTGTGTGTCACTGTGTGTGTTTTGTTGCTTTGGTTATCACAGTAGTAAAGACAAGAGTCCCAGACTGGCGGTTAAAACATGGTCTCATTTTCAGCAGCAGTCCCTTAACACTCCTAAAATTAATGCTCGTGTGTGTAGAAGTGCATCTGTATGTATAAAGGCTGCTGTATGTATGCCTCACCAGAAGGGTTGTCACAGCCTGTTTCCCAGAATGCTTCAGTGATGGTGAATATATTGTACACAATATATTATGAATCCCTTATTTTCATTTATTTTTGGCCAAATGCTTTTGCAACTGAATCCCATTTGCAAACTGTTCACTTATGTTAAAACAATGCACCCAATAATTTAAATATCCAAAGAAGCAATCAATGTTGGCTCATTTCTTCTTGAAAATTGACATTTGTACATATCTATCATACTGCAAGGATAGACATCTCTTTTCTATCAATCCACACATATTTAAAATGTCATTTAATCTTCAAAATGGCATATTGATTGCTTGCGTTCTGGGATTACAGCTAAACTATTTGTCCACTTACAGTATTAATCACAGAAGTGCTGCAGTGTTGGTCGATTAGAAATTGTATTGCAATTTGATAGATTTGTTGTTGTTTTTTGCATCCCCTCCTTCATTTATTTGTGTTCCTATTTTTGATACTCTCAAACAGACTCAGTCCTGGAGCCCTTCACCACCTATGAGTACAGAGTGAGAGGCTGGAACAGCTTCGGACGAGGCTCCAGTGATGTTACAACAGTGAGCACCAGTGAAGACAAACCGTGGGGAGTGGCACCTCCTCGCTGGAGTCGCTTAGGTGAACGAGATGACATCATCCAGTTGCTATGGCAAGCACCCGCCAGGCCTAATGGTGTGTGTGTGTGTGTGTGTGTGTGTGTGTGTGTCACCAAATAGCCCCTTCTTTTTACATGTTGTTCAATTTTGAGAAAAAGTAAAAAAATAGATTATAAAAAAGTACCTTTTCCATTTTACCAGGTGACATCACCCACTATGTTATACTGCGGGATGGACAGGAGCGTTACCGTGGTGATGAGACCAGTTTTACTGATGTGGGGGGGATCAGGCCTTTCCAGGAGTTCAGCTACCAGCTGAGGGTCTGTAACCGGGCCGGTTGTACTGACAGTACACAGGTAAGACTACATGTGCTTATTTTACTGTTGCTATTACTATTCTGCTGTGTCAGATTAATTTGTTCCACATTGCATCACTGTAGAAGCCCTTTAGCAGCATATGTGGCTAAACGTATGCTTACCTGTCTTACACATATAATAGAAAGTCAGCATCAGTATGGAAGTCTTTGAAGAGTCTTAAGTTCAGAGCGTGCCGGGAGTTTGGAGCATTTAAAGCTATGACGAGGAGCTGGGCTGACCTGCCTTCTCATAAAGCATGAAATGATAGCAAGAAAGGAAATAAATGGAAATGCAATATTTTGTACCAAAAATATATATTTATATTTACACTAAATATTACCATTTGCAGCTACAATTGGAAAGCTAATGACTGTTCAGTTGATTTCTATTTCTGCTATTTAATCAGCCCTAATGTTAAGCCCTCTCTCTCTTTCACACACCAGCACACACACGCTCACACTTTCCAAAACCTTACTCTGTTGTAGCACCTCATTTCATAAAGACATTATTCCCCCTGTATGATTATCTAATGGCTTCTCTAAAGATGGACTGAGCTTCACTGAACTAAGCACCACTTTACTCTGTACTCCAGTTCATTTCTTTAATTTAGGCAGAACAATTAAAGAAAAAGAAAGTTGTTTAAAAAAAGGTGTGTGTGTGAAAGAGATATAGAACTCAGAGAGAACATCGCTTTGAGATAAAATATATATGTTTGTGTTTTTCTAATTGTTAATCAATGTCGTTGTCAGTTAGAGGCGGTTTTAGGTTTAAAAAAACGTTCAACAAAGTGAAGCTGATCAATCCAAGTACCATATTAGTCAAAAGTGTCCCGGAGCTGATTTTATAACTAATCCTTGATTCTCCTAAACATCTGAACTACCTCCAACCAGTCTGCATACAAGTGTGCTACGTATGCTGTTCATGTTTTGTTTTTTCATAGAGTAATTGCCTGGACATGCAACACATGCTTCATGTTGTTTAAACCTAAATCAGAATCCTTTCCGCATTTCCTTCTGCAGTTGGCCGCTCATATGATCCTTTGTTTGGACAGTGGCCTTTAAGCTAAATGCCATTTCACCATCTCTTAAGAAGTAGTAGTAGTTCATGTGCTCAGTTGTTTTGCAAGTGATATTTTACACATGTTAAACCTGTCTCTGACCTTTATTGTTAAGAATATACAGTGTGTGATGTTGTCCATGTCGGTACAAGTTTTTATTTAGCCTGGTTTCCGCTCTCCCCCTGTATGCAGGGCTCTGGATTTGCTGAGCCTTCCTGATGTTTGTGATAGCATCCATAATAGCTTCACACAGAACTCCCCCTGCTATCTCTCTGGCTGTAGCAGAGCTGATATCACCACAACAATTAATTTCTCCGGCTTAGGGGTGATGAAAGCTCACGTTGAAAACTGTCTTTCTGGCTTTTTTTTCTTAAGCTAATTTAACATCTCATTATTTTGATGAGCTCATTCTTACATAAAGACGCAGCCAGTAGATGTGTAACTGGAGAGGTGGATGGACCAGAGAGGGTGGGATGGAGGTAGAGATGGTTGAACTGGTTGTGACGGTTTGATACATCAATAGATGATGGATGTATGAATGTAAACAATAAATGGATGCTGGGGAGAATTATGACATGGATGAAATAGGAAAGGATGGATGTAGGAACGTGATAAAGGAAGGAGTGGTAAATGCTTGGAGAAATGAAGGGGAAAAGAAGAATGGTTCAACAGCTCTATATTTTCTGAAGAAAAAGATAAAATATGATTTTGAAGCAGGTAGATTGACACTGTAAATCTCCGACATTGACTTCGGCCGTTGTTACACTTTTCTATTAATTGTGAAAAGATGAGATTTTGATAAGAACGACTGCCCTCCTTGACACTTCGATGCGACCCGCCTGATTGGATAGTGATCAGATATATTTCCGCACAGATGTCTGGTCTTTACTGCTTTTTTTTTTTTGAGTCTTTAACAGTCCTTTATGCTGTTTTTAGATTAAGTTTACTTCGATATTGCAGCCAAATTCTTGGAAAGCCCTCCTTTTTTCATATTTTCTACGATATCCTTAAATATTCTTTATATTTATTTTTTAATTTTTGTATCTGCTCTCAAGTTAGTCAGCAAGACTGGTTTTCCTCCTCTTTTTCTTCCGACCCCGTTAAACTGTTAAAATGCGCCAACAGGCTTTAATCCAAACTCAATGTGACCCACACCATTGGAGCATCTGTTCCGAATACAAGCAAGATCCAACATAAGAGCATAAAGACTTGACAGTTAAGTGTAACAACGGCCTTTAACAGCTTCATGTGCTTTCAAAAGTGTTGCCTTCAGGAGGTGTTGGTGATAGTATACACCTGAACTGTGCACGTGTTTAAACATCTAACAGAATAAAGCCAGCATCATGATTCAAATGGTGTACCAACTTGACCTAAACATATCTCTACAGAAGCAGGCTCATGAAGCATCCTGGCTGGACACTTTACCTGATAACCCAAAGCCATATGCAGTAACACCACAAAATCAATCTCTGTCTTCCACGCTCTCTCTGCCTACCTCCCTCTCTCACACACACATACATATGTTTCGCACAAACAAGCTCACACACTCCCAGCAGTGGGGGGAAAGGGAGTGAGTTGGATTAGTTTGTACACCACTGAAAATTGGCCAAACAGTCCCAATTATGGGATAACTTGGGCTAACCTAATACACCACTGCAATTACCTGGCATCAGCCCCCTCACATATCCACACACACACCGGCGCACACAAACAAACACAGGCACACACAAACGCACACCTGCTGTGACAACAGAAGGTGCTGATCTAATACGGTTGGTCACTTAGAGCGGGAGGAAGAGCGATTGGTCCTCTCTGTCTTCTAATCCTTTTGTCCTGCTCTCTCTGCTATTTGTCTCCTGTCATTCCCCTGATCCTGATGCCACACTCTTCAGTTTCTCCCAACTGTTGTCTCTTTCTGCTCTTAACCACTCTCATCGTCTCTACTGTCCAAACTGCAGTTTCTCTTTCACAACAACTGTCATTCGGTGTCCAACATTCCCCTTTCCCTCTTTTCTTTATGTCTTTCACAATCTCATTTTCTTTTGTTCCCCCAAGTTTACATTCCTTTGCATATCTGAGAAGGTTCGAGGAAGATTTTCCTAGTGAGCTTTTTCTTTTTACATATGAGAAAAACTTAAGCATCTATATTGTATTTTTCTGAGCTATCAATGATTCTATGTCATGTTAACATGTTGAAAAGTACATTAGCCTCTAACTGACCTAGGATAACTTGGATGCACAAATATGTCATTTCAAACGGGTTTAAATGGAGACAGGTTGTGCCTCTTTCTGTTCCCCCTTAAAGGGAACTTAGATTACAAAGGTGCTTCATTAGTTCCTACAGTTGAATGTAATGTCTCACCAAGCCAACTGAACTGCATTTAAGGTACATGCAATACATGGCTTTATGGCTTTTTTTTTGCTTTACTTCAGAGCAAAGTCTTGAGAGACTGAGTTAACATTAAAGCATGTACTACACTTTCCATGCATCTTCTTTCTCTGACTCCTTTTCTCTGTTACCTCTTTGTGCTTGCGTATGTATACCTGCATGTACCTGTGTGTGTGTTTATGTGTGTGTATGTGCACATGTGTGTCTCCTTAGTTGTAGTAGCAGACAACTAATTGCATAGCACTGTGTGGGACAGGTGGGGGAAGTGCTAGTGACAGTCTATTAAGGCAGGATATCCCTGTTGCCATTAGCAGCAGATTGCCCTGTGATTCTGTTGCCTCCACATTCACCCAGCGTCCACCGGGCCCGCAGATACTACACAAGGAATTTACAATAGGATGGTCACTCACCACACTGTACTAAAGAGCAGTGTCTGTTTTTGCATACCAAGCGTCTTTCAGTTGGATTCTTTGTCATGAGGAAATGTTAAAAGCGATGGAGTAGTTCAACTGAGGCCAGTGTCCATGTTGCCATTAAAACGATAAGCAGAACAAACTCTAATAATATTTTACACCAAAATGAGCATGTACATGTTTAGGCAGGCTGCTTAAATGCAGGACTACCTGCTTATATTCTATATAATCCTTTCCCATTATCAATAGACAAGTCTACTTTTCTTGTTTTTTTTCAGGAGTTTCATATGTTCTCTTTTTTTTGTCATATTTTGGCTGTTGTATATAATACCATTTTTCTTTTTTTTGGGAGGGGAATGCATAAAACATATTTTTCTGTTGTCAGCAGGGTTTTTACTACCTCAGAAAGAGAAGTCATGGGTTTGGATGCAGTTTTTATTGGGTTGTGATCATGTTAATTACATTCATAAATGGTTCTCACAGAATTCCATCTGTTATTCACACCTTTTACATTCTGTAAAATATCAGAAATGTGGTATATTTTATACTGTGTGTGTGTGTGTCTTCTTCTGTTTGTGTGTATGTCCATGTGTGTGTTGAGGTGGTGGCAGTGACAATCCAGGGAGTCCCAGAGGGCGTGCAGCCTCCTGTGGTAACAGCTTTAAGCCCTTCCTCCCTCCATGTAAGCTGGTCTGAAGCGACTCGTCCCAATGGAAAAATACAACGCTCCCACCTAAACCAGACTGGTGTAGGAACCATATTTACACACATCAGTGGGCCCAGAAATTATACTGTGTTTGGTAAGATTCTCAGATGATCAAATGCCTCACTTTTCCTTCACATTTCTCCCACTCATCAAACTCTCTCTCTCTGTCTTTACTCCATTGCCCTTTGTCCTGTCTCTTCTCTACTCCTTCTCATTACATTACATGTCACTTGTTAGACGCTTTTATCCAAAGCGACTTACATACTCAATACTGTGGGCAATCCCCACAGGAGCAATTTGGGGTGAAGTGTCTTGCCCAGGGACACAACGACATGCTGACTGCAGTGGGGTTTGAACCTGTGACCCCCTGATCCGAACACCAACGCACAACCCACTGCGCCACACGCCTCCATCTCTCATCTTTGTTTCTGCTTATCTGTCCTTTACTCTCCTTCTTCTTTCTTCCTTTGAAATGCATCTATTTGTCTATATCTGTTTCTGGAAGGCATCTAATGACTACATGTACACCTGCTCTCTCTGGCCTAGCCCCTTAACACAGACACAAATACACTCAAGTGAACACACAAAAGAATACAAATTAATAAAAATACAGAGGCACACTCTGACACAATTCGGACACAATCTTGGGCTCACATGCCTTGAAGCTCACACGAAAAACTCAAATATTAGTACAAAACAGCAGAACAAAAGCTGTTTTAGACCCAGCGCTCTAACAAAACACTACAAAAAATATATACCCAGTACACACACAGACAAACAGAAGTGTTGTCTCAATATTGTACATCTGCACACAAACATGGTGGTGTCAGGACTGCATGATTTGTGGGTTTTGTTTTATCTATCCTGAGGAGGAGCTGTGTTTCTGGCCTTCTGCCATCATTCACAAGAGACACTCACACACACACACACACACACACACACACACACACACACACACACACAGACACAGACACAGACACAGACACAGACACACACACACACTAAGGCATGCACACAAACACCTGAATAAAGCATTGCAAAGCAAATGTTTGTTGTCTTTATAAAAACTGAACATTATAGAGACACTTACTAAAAAATGCCAAACAACAATAATCAGAATTAAAATACTTCCCTTCTTCTGGAATTTGAATAGTTACGTATTTACACTATTTAAATGTTTAAACACATAATGTAGTGATGGCATCCTTTGAAGCTGAATTTCAGTGACACGCTCCCTTCACAGCTCTGCTCTCTGCTCTGTCTTGGACTCATACCAGGCCTCGGCTTTGCCAGTAGCCAATAGACTATTCCCATGGTGCCTGTGGTTGGCTTGTATGGTCAGGAGTTGTGTGCGCACAAGCGTGTGTTTGTATGTGTAGGCATGAGGCAAAGCAAACAATGCCAAATAGAGATGGTAATGTGCTGTAATACTGTACCAGCCCCATGTGCCAGTGTAAGCAACCAGCATGCATGTGTGAAATTCCCCTGTCCCCCAGTGAGACACTGGAAAACCCTGCGTATTCAGCCAAAACCACTACTGGGGGACTCTCTCTCTCACCCTTTTGTCTTTCTCCCTCCCTCTCTTCCCTGCTCTTGTTCCCAACATTGCAGTCGTTTTTGTAACAACACATTTATGCTTTAAAAAATAGATTTCTGTGTTTCATTTATTGCAGTCCTGTTTTTTTACAGCGGACATATTAAACCACAATGTTTTACAAAGGATCAGGAATGGATGAAACTTGTATGGCCTCTACAGATTCATTCAACAAACCTTAAGTGATAGGCTTCGTTCTCCCTTTTTTATCTACACTTTAACCTTATTTTATATAGCAATCTTCATTAAATTGAATAAATAAACCTAACAATTATATTCAATTAATATTTCAAAGTAATGGATTTTTTTAATGTGTCTTCCTTTGGGACTTTTACAAACTGATCCCCATGTATACACACACTCAAGTGTACCTCTTCGTACAGTTTGTATGTTCTTGTACTTAGAAACTGTTGTTGCTATGATAGCTTTTAGCACAAAGTAAAGTAAAAAGTCAAACGGAGACAAAGAGGGGGGGAGGCAGGGAGTGAAAGGTTCACAGGATGACACTTTTTGAAACGGAGTGAAGGAGAAAAGGAAGAAGGAGTAGGACAGATGTAAAGATGGATGGATGTATCTAAGTGTTTTCAGTGAAATATGAACAGAAATAATTGCTGCGCTACTCCCTCGTCCTTAATGTTTAATACGCCATAATTCATCTTCTCTGCATCTCTGCGACGGTTCTCACCGCTGTCAGAGACAGACGCTCAGAGAGCTCACTCACTCACCGCAGAAACTGGAGAAACGTGCTTTTTTTAGCTACTAAAATGTCAATGTTGGATTGAACCACTTTGCAGTGTTGTAACTTATTTGATCTGATACATGTCTGATGGAGTATTTTCTGCTAAAATCATTTTCCTCAGAGAGTCATTTATTAAGAAAAGTTGTTGTAAATGTACTTTTATAATAATAATCATCATAATACCACCAGTATTATCTGACATTCTGAAACAATATTTATTTATAATAGTATTTATTTTAACTGAGTACCTGTTTCCTTGTATTACATATATAAAGAAGTACTACAGTATATATATTTTTTTTAAATTTGTTTTTGCCCAGAAAGGTTTTTCAGAAGAAGAATTCCCAAAATGTAGCAGCTGCCAAAATGATGACTGAATCTAAAAATATAAAACAATGTTGTGTTTTCTACTATATCCCTTTTATAAGTGATTTTCCTTATGAAAAGCCAGAAATGGACTCTAACTAATAGCATTTCTAGCAGTTCCGAAAAGTGACACTTCATAGAAAGAATTAAGCACTACTGTACAGAGACACCCCATGTGAATCGATATTAAGTATTGCTATCATTAGCTCACGATGAATTATTGCCTGCAATTATATAGATTATGGCATTAATCATGTGTTTAATTGGTCTTTTGTAGGCTCATTATTAATTCAGAACAGCAGGGAATAGAGTATGTTCTTTTATTTATTAATGCCTTTCCCCCGTAGTCCATGCTCGGATTGGTCTGTGCTAAAGGTACAGGCATGTAGATGTAAGAAAGGAGGAGAGGAGATACACAAGAACTGTTTATCAATCAACCTTTAATCGGTTTATCATAAGAAGTGTCAACCCTACAGTATGTGGAATGAGTCTTTCATGTAACCAGTTAACAACATTTGCTGTAAGTTTATAATTTCTGCTTCAAAAATCTGAGCTAAAACATACAAAAAAGTTTAAAAGACTGAAGTTTGAACTATATAGTCCAGTTAGCAATAAATACAAATGCTCCAGATGTCATCCTTATAACTTCATGCACAATGAGTGCAACATTTTTATTTAAGTGAATCTCTATCGGTTGAAAAGTTGGAAGGTGAGGGATACGATCATAAACTACTAACTTTTTTAAAGATTTTTATAGATTCTACAGTTTCTCTGAAGTCAAAATTACTAATACAACAGTAAGCAAGCAAAGTAAGACCTATCATTGACCGAATATATGTCTCAAAACTTGTACACGCAAGATATGTAGAGATGTTTTCCAAGTGGACACATTCACACATTTATTCGTCCCAAATTCCTGGCCATGTCTTCCAAGGTGACATTTGTGTATGTCTGTGAGCAAGTACAGTCTTTATTTAGTTTAGTTAGCGCATGTGTGTGTAAATGCATATTTATGGCAAGTACTGCACAATAACTTGTATCTGCTCATATTGTTTAGATGTGTGTGTGTGTGTGTGTGTGTGTGTGTGTGTGTGTGTGTGTGTGTGTGTGTGTGTGTGTGTGTGTGTGTGTGTGTGTGTGTGTGTGTGTGTGTGTGTGTGTGTGTGTGTGTGTGTGTGTGTGTGTGTGTGTGTGTGTGTGTGTGTGTGTGTGTGTGTGTGTGTGTGTGTGTGTGTGTGTGTGTGTGTGTGTGTGTGTGTGTGTGTGTGTGTGTGTGTGTGTGTGTGTGTGAACCTGATCTCATTGTTCCATCCCAGACGCTCTCTGCATTAGGGAGCCACAGACAGGAAGTCAAACTCTTAATTATTTAGGAGAGGTGTTATCAAAGCTCTCCTCTCCCTCACTCTCTCTCTCTGTTTTTTTTCCCGTTGGTGTTCTTGCGTGTTCTCGATGCATCATCTATCATTTCTGTTTCTTATGCAAACTTCACTATAACTTCCTTTTTTCCTCTGCTTCTCAACTCACTCACTTGTCTTACTCTTCATTGTACCAATCATTGGTTTCCTCTCTTTCCATTTCAGCGCCTTTTTTCTCTTCTTTCTCTTTCTCAGATGTCCTCACATTTCCTACTCCTCGTATTCTCCTTTCTGGCTTTTCCCTTTTTCTCCCATCTTCTTTCATTTTACCATCTTTCTCTCTCTCTTTATTTCCTTTACTATCTGATGTATCAGGTAACTGGCTTGGTATTACCTCCTGTGCCCATCATCCTATCATATTCTCTAATGCAAACAAGGAATGGCAACCTGTCAATAAAATGCCATTATAAATCAGTAATTATTTTCCTGAAACACATGAACACACACACACACACACACACACACACAAACACACATAAGGGAAATCCACAACAACAGTATCACACTCCTTACTTTCTCTTGTTGGTTCTCGTTCTCTTTGACTTTTAACTTGAATCTAAGCTTTAACTCTTTACTCTGTCTTACTGCCATAGTCTCTGTCTGTTTCTCCCTGTGCACAAACACGCACGCACGCACGCACGCACACACACACACACACACACACACACACACACACACACACACACACACACACACACACACACACACACACACACACACACACACACACACACACACACACACACACACACACACTGATCTCAGTAGTGTCCAGCTATCATGATGACAGTGACAGCCTTGTCTCACTCTGTGTTAGTGAGCCGCTGGCTGCTCACATCAGAACGCCCTCAACCTGTTTTTCACTTCCCGGTGATCACTGTTAAAATGATTGAAGCTGCCTCTGTCTTTCCATAATCGAACACATAAGCACACATATGTATGCAATGGTATGTGCACATAGAGGCACACACACACACACACACACACACACACACACACACACACACACACGTAGACACCCAGTAGTTTCTTCAGCAGACCAATACTGCCCTCTTCAGGCTTCAGTTTTAAAGGTTACTTGAAACACACCAGGAGACATCAAAGGTGGTTGTATATGTGTGCGTATGTTTTTGTCTAACACACGGGTTGAATGAAAAGTGTGTTTGTTTTGGTTTAAAATTGAAATAATAAGAGACACAATGGTTGGAGAAGCAGGTAATGTTTGGCTTTTCAGAGTTTTTAGCCTTGTAGTTCTGTAATATTCTGACTGTTTTCCTTTCAAAAGGTAGGCCTGATACCGTTTTTTCGTTTAGTCCGTGATTAATAAGTACTGGAAACAATTTAAGAATGACTGAATACAATCTGTATGCACCCAAAAACATTTAACACACGTTTCGTATACTCATTACTGTTGGATCACACGCCTTCATTGCCAAATGAGGTTGTCTATGTGGTCTGTGTTGATCATAAAATATGACACAGTTGTCTGTCCGTTTTCTGCACTTTTCTGACTCATGTCGAGACACTCTGTCTGTCTCTATGTAGAAACATGAAGTGAAGGGTTACTGCTTTATTCAGCGTTGCAACAAATGACATCACTTTCGGTGTAGATATCATTTACTATGCTAGAGTGCACACATGCATATACACACGCTTAGTTGCACAGTTAAATAGTGTAACAGAGCCTTACGCTTCAAACCCTAGTACTTTTGTATGGCTGGCAGATTTCCTTTATTTAACCCAAACCCAGGGCAACATAGTGAGAGCATTTGCACACACACAGACACACACACACATTGATCAGAGGTTGGGTTAAGCGTGGCAGGCTGTGAGGCATGTTAAGCAGGCTGAGCAGTAGAAAGACACAAGAGGAAACCGAGGTGTGTGTGTGTGTGTGTGTGTGTGTGTGTGTGTGTGTGTGTGTGTGTGTGTGTGTGTGTGTGTGTGTGTGTGTGTGTGTGTGTGTGTGTGTGTGTGTGTGTGTGTGTGTGTGTGTGTGTGTGTGTGTGTGTGTGTGTGTGTGTGTGTGTGTGTTTTCTGTCGTGTGTAGTCAACAAAGGACGGGTACCAACATGCATAAAGCAGCTGAGACACAGTAGGGTGTCCCTTTCTGTCTCCCAGCCTCCAAATAGACACAGTTGGAAACAGTTATAGTTAATTTAGATTATTAACTAAATTAGAATACAAGTATGTTAATTAACACAGAGTAACATTATGGTATTTTTTCACCTAAAGTAAAGATTTGATAACTCATTTGTAATATAAGTAACATACACATGTATTTCAAATCTGCAACCCAACGAGTCCTGTACTGTCTATTTCCCCTGTGATATTAAACATAAATCAAATAGAATACATTTACATTTCTTTGTTAAAATAAAATCTATAGTTTAAAACACATTTTCAGTCTATTAAATATGATTCGTTTTTAGTATAAATGTAATATGCTAAAGATGAAACATGTTAGTAGGTATGAAAAAAGGTTCTATATAATAGAAGTATTTATCTTGTCCTTAATGTTATAAAATATGTATTGCTTCTCTGAAAGTATTTAAAATGTAGGCAGAAATAAAGAATTCAACACTCTGTTTTATGTAATGCCAAAGCCTGTTTTCACATTCATCCGGATTCCTTTTGAAATAAAGTCATTTTTTCGCTCCTTCATTTTCCCTTCAATTTGATTTGTATGCTGTTGTATGCTGTCAGCTAAGTGAATGACCATAAAACATCCAGTCAACCCCCATGACAACATTAAGGATTTGCATTCATCCATTAATCCTCATCCACCCTCGGTATATCAAGCACCAGGCAGAAAATATATCAGAAGAAGACAAAGCTTTTCAATCACCAGAAAGTGGTTCTAACTCCAGGATAACTTTGTTTAGGTACATGTGGATTTTTTTTTAGCAACTTCCAGTATTTCAATTGTTTAAAATAAGCCAAAAACTGATTTCCTGTGTTTGCAGTTAAAGGACCACTCAGTCGTTATGTGATTTCTTTTAGACTGCGTATAGCGGGCGCATATAAATAAATCATGTCTGGACGCTGTAGCCTAAACGTATACCGAGGTATCATAATTATCATAGATCAAAAGCTGATGACATTACAGCGTTGGACCGGTCCTATCCCATGTCAGTTCCGCGGCTGCCCATCTTTACGTTGTTTCATTATTGAGTTATGGCATGCATAATTTAACACCGACAGATATGGATCCATCCGTTGAGAGAGTGTGGAAAGAACAGAGGGAGGGAGAGTGAAATGGATAGAGAGAGAAGACGCTCAGGAAAAGAGCTCGTGATACGGGCCGGAAAGCTTTTACTTTATTCCCCTTATTGTTCTGTATTTGGATATGTGTCTCTCTTCCCCTTTTTAACCCCCTATTTCTATTTTCTTTTGAAAACCATCAGCTTTTTGTGTACGGAATAAAAAAGAAGCTGAACGTAGAAATAATATATGCAATTTTCCATCCTTTATGTGCGTAGGATTCATCTTTTGTGATTTATTTTCATCACATACATGTATGTATATTTTTCTGTGTGCCACAGGTCTGCAGCCGTACACAGACTACAGTTTTGTGCTGGTGGGCTGCACAGCTGTGGGATGTGGAGCCAGCTCACCTTCCACAGGACGCACCCTGCAAGCCCCCCCTGCCGGTACACACACACACACACACAAACACACACACACACACACACACACACACACACACACACACACACACACACAGGCACAATTATGAAAATCCTGGACATCCTGAAAAATATTAAAACCTTTCTTATAAATCTTAGGAATTCCTCTTGTGACATTTAATTCCAAATCATTTGGTCACTCGGATTCTTAAAACTTGTCTGGCTTTGTCCGATGTCTGAACCACGATAATGTAAGACTGTGAGAATCTGCATTGCATTTTCCACAACAATGTATTACATGCAGTAAGTAAAGTAAAAACATTTTCCAATAATCATTATTTTTTTCCTTTTATTGTCACGGGGAAAAATGTTATGTTAAATTGTTTAAAATATATAAATGACTTTAAATAACCAACAACTAACCATTTTGATAAATACTGAAATAAAGCAATCTATCGAGCATTCGGTCATTTCTCCAAGATGTTCCTTAGTCCATGTTCTCCTCACTGACTCCCTCTCCGCTCCTCTTGCTTCTCTTCTCTCCTCCCACTGCTCTCCTTTTTTAAATCCTCCCCCTCTCATCTTCCTTTGGTCTCTCTATATCTCGCTCTCCTTCACCTTTAGCTTCGTCTCCTCTTCCTCTCTGGTGACTACAGTGGAACAACCATTATTTTGTTCCCTAAATAAAATGCCGTCTCAGATTTTTGTTTATTAATGAACTTTCATTAGAATGATTTTTCTCTTTTCCTTCCTTTTTATTTTCACTCCTCTTCCTCCCCTCTTCCTCCCCTCTTCCTCCCCTCTGCCTCTCCTTCTCTTGATATTTTCCTCTCTCTGCTTTCCTCCGAGTCTTTCACAATAAATATCAAATTATTTCCCATTTTTGCACCTTTCTTTTACCCCCTATGTTTACCTTGCTAAACCGTCATTTGTCTCTCTTTTAACTTGCATAATCTCTATGTACTGTTTTCTATAAACATACATTTATATTATGTATTATCCTCTCTTCCATCAGTCTCAACACTTATTCTTCGATATAACTCAATTTACAATTCTAATCTGAAATAATGCATATTTATTTGTAAAAATGTTCTTAAATGTTAAACCTTTTAGACCATCTGTGTTCCTATTAGTTTCAAATAATGAAATACCACTACAATCACATCTTGCCTGTTCTATGTTTTTTTCCACCTTTGGTTTCTTTAAAATCTCATGAGAAAACTTTTACCTTCTTCTCCATCATTGTAATATTTTTGTGCTTACTTCTCTACATTCTTATGCAAATAAATGTCACTATTCTCAGTTACCGTTTAACGTAATAGTGACTCAACCTGTCCACAGTCAATCAGAAACAAGCTGTTAGATTAGCTGTCGTCACTTTGATATTAGTAAGTTATCTTTTAAGGAAAGTTTTGTTCCTGATTAGTTTGTTTGAAACAAAATGAAGTTAACGTGGAAAACACTCCCTCTTCTTTCCGTCTTTGCTCCTCAGGTGTATGGACAAGCCCCAGACATCTGATAATAAACACATCTGCAGTGGAGCTGTACTGGGATCAGCCCCCCCCGACCTAATGGACACATCTCCCAGTACAGACTGAACAGAGACGGTCACACTATTTTTACCGGAGACCACCGTGACCAGAATTATACCGACACTGGACTCGTGCCAAACCGCAGGTAGAGAGCGGGCACTCGCATACTTTACACACACATGAATGCAAATGTGTTTGTGTTCACATATGTAGTAGTCAAACATGCATAAACACAATTCACTTGTAGCTTCATAATTAATCATGCCTCTAATTCCTACATGTTCCCGTTTGAGTGTATGCGTGTTTATATGGGGGTCACCCTGTTTTAAAAGCCCTCCTATCTCCTATCCTATCCCATCCATGTCTCTCTGAGGACTGCACTCTGTATATGTCTGTTTGTGCCATTTAATGAGCAAATATTTGACATGCCAATGACAGACGCAAACATCAGCACACACACACACACACATTAAAACACAAATCAGATTTAGCTTTTGCTTGCAGACAGCAGTGGAGCGGAGATTTTATTTATCTGTTTATTTTCATTTAACCTTTATTAATCCGTGTCTTTTTTCTGAGATGGATTTTCTGTTTTAATTACGGGAGTGTAAAATGATACCCCGCCTACCCTCCTCTTTCTCTCTCTCATGTCTCCTTTTCCTTCTCCTTGGTCTTCTCTCTCCAGAGACAATTTCTCCTTTCCCCAAATAGAATTCTTGGGATAACACCTTGCAGTACTCCAATCTCCTCTATGTGTGTGTGAAAGAGAAAGAAAGGAAGGAAGAAAGAAGATAGGACTGTGTGTGTGTGTGACGTTTAATTTTCCCTAATTCCAGATAGTCTGCCAGAAGGCATTCCCGTCCCGACCCTTCGCTTCTCATCACTTGTCTCGCCTCCTATTCACTTCTCTCTCCTCTCACCCTCCCCTCCCATCCTTTCCCTCTTACCTCATTCCTCCTTCCCTTCTTTTCCCAATTTAGCTCTGCGCCAAGAATTACACAGGGAGCACCGGCCCCATTATCCAGGCAGTCTTGTGTGGGTTTCTGCCCGCGTGTGTGAGTGTGTACCCACGCATGCCTTTCTGTGTGCGCATGTGTCTGTGCATGAGACTGCTCAAAGTGGCCATTGATTATTTATGACAATGTTGATTAGCTGTCACTTTGCTTCGGCAGCCCAGGAAGTGTCTAAGATGACGAGAGAATTAACCTATTCCCTCTGGCTGGCCCCGCAGGACACACACACACACACACACAGCCACAACCACAGCCATACAGATGCAAATGCCCCATTCAACGATTACCTACCACACACGCACACCGTTTGACTTTTGATATCCCAAGGCGGTGTTTACATTTAAGTAAATATCTTCCAGTGATGAAGTGTTTAAATTCATTCTCCCTCTGAAACCCTATGCCATGATACACTCCTTCCTCTCCATCACACTCGCTCTCTTCCTCTCATGATTTCTCTCTCTTCCTGTCTCTCCTCTCCACAGTTGGTCTGTCTCAATGAGTTGTATTTATGTATGTTTTGCTCTGTGTGTGTCTCTTTGTGTCTATGAGAGCAACATATGAGTAGTTTTAATACCTTTTCCTGACTGCGTTCTAACCCACTGCACTGGTGCTAATGGCCTCCTGTTGGAAACGTTCTACGCAAGAACAATAACCCAACAGCACCGCCTATTAATGCATGTGTGCCGGAGTTTATAGCAAATTAAAGGCTTTTAATGTTAAATGGTGGCCCACTTACACAGCTAATGTAGGCTTTAGCACCAGCCAGCCACACGCTCTTAAAAGGGAAATCTATCTTATGATGTCATGGGCGAGAGGCAGAGAGCGGGCCGAGAGGGGCAGCGAGACAGACGTAAGAGAGAGAGAGAGGTGTATGATGGAGAGGGAGAAAGAGAAAGAAATGGACCTCAAGTGTGGTCAGTGTATGAGCTTAAACACACAGACATGAGCACACTATGTACATTCATTTTGATCTATTTGTGGAGCGCAGTGCAAGAGGCTGTGAGTCTTTCCTTTGGTTGCTTTGATCTTTCAAATATTAACGATGATGCCTATAATTTGAAGAGATTTTTGGGGCAATGTCATGAAATATCTTTGACGGAAACTATGCAACCGAGTTGATCTTAATACCCGCACAATTGCCATTTTTGCCATGCAAGAAAACTTTTATGATGACACACATTCTGTATCAAGTGACAGATTACATTCCTCCCTGTGCTCATGCTAAGCTGGGACTTCCGTTCTCAGTTTTTGCTCTCATCACTGATGTATAAATTAATAGATGCATATCACATACAGTTTTTCATCCATACCCTGTTTTCCAATTCCAAAAAGTCCCTTGGAGATAATCTACAACAACACTTCAGACTCTCAATTACATTAAAACTTGTTTAAAAAAAAGCAACAGTTTCCCTGTTGATGCAACCCCTGTGTTTACTTAGCAGGAATGACCTTCCTTGAAAGTATAATGGGCATTTGAGCTTAGTTTCTTTCTCCATTTTTGTCCAGCAAAATGCACACAGCATTCTCAGTGTATGCAAGTTCAAAAAACATAAAAAAGAAACCAAACAATATCAAATACATTCTCATATGTACCTGGTAAGTTCTGCTATTTTTATGAATACTCCCTTTGACTGTGGGCCATGATCCGAACATGTTTACTCTATGCTTTGGTACAGTTGTTTTAATTGTCTCTCTGCATGTTCTTTCTTTCTCTCTTCTTTCCTCTTTTCTCTGTGTCCCTCCTCTGCTATCTCTTTTCTGCTTTCCTCTCTTTACCCCACCATCTCCTCAGGTATGTGTATGAGCTGCAGGCCAGCACAGGGGGTGGGACCGGTGTGAGTGACAAATATGTTATACAAACACCAGTCTCTTGCCCCACTGGGATCCAACCTCCCCACAATGTGACAGTGTTGGGCCCCCACTCCGTCTCTCTGGCCTGGACCCCTCCTGGTGAGTAGCTGTCTGAATGGATGGATGGATGCATTTAGTTTGAACCCAATGGCATCACAAATTAGACACTGTGTTTTCTAACGATAACTAACTTGTTCATGTGTGTATCAAGGGTAAAATATATGTAAACATTGTGTTGCTCCTTGTAATGCTATTGGTGTTTAGATGTACCATGCCAAATGGTGACATTGTGGGTAATTGTGTGGTTACTGTGAAGTGATCACAGAGACAGAGGGGCTCAATTCAATGTTTGTAAGAATTTAAAATGTATTTTCAGCGGTGTTGAGTAACTAAGAGGTTCTTTAGCATGCACGTATCAAATGGCAGCAACCGTTTTTCTATATAAAACAGCATTGAGTCGAATTATTAAAGTCAACATTATACTTACATTAACTTTGCAAAGTTATTTCCCAGAAAAAAATATACATTAATTATTTTTCCAATGATCTAAAAATACAACTAACCAACAATATAACAATGGTTGTTATATTTATTGGATTTGGCTTTACAAATGCATAAAAAATAAATCCACAATATTAAACTGAGCAGAGAGAAGTTTTTCTTCCTCAGATTAGAGGAGACAAAGCGAGGGGCCAGACTGAAACAAAAGCATTGTGTTGTTTTTTTATTCACCTTCTGGCCTCAAGACCTGGACACACACACACACACACACACACACACACACACACACACACACACACACACACACACACACACACACACACACACACACACACACACACACACACACACACACACACACACACACACACACACCCCAGGTTTCCATGAGCACACACTCAGGGCTGAGTTTCATGCTTATGGGGCAGTGATTGTCTGCCCTAACCCATCTATCATTGACTATTACTCTCTCATTAGGCTGATTTCCTATTTCAGAAACTGCTTATAGGGCCAACTAGCAAAGACACTTCACTTTGTTGTGTTGTGTTGTGTGTGTTTTGTGTCTGTGTATTTGTGTCTGTGTTTATGCATGAGTCTTTATACGTGTGTATTTGTTGTGTTTGTGTGTGTGTGCACATCACTGTGGAGACATTTCCATAGGCAGGCCTATTCTATCGTGATTACGGGTTGATTTTAAAGGTGAGGAAATATCTTCTGGGTTCTCTCGCTTGGTTAACTCCCTGAGCCCAGAATCTGGAGTGTTTTCGACTGGTGTGTGTATGTATGTGTGTGTGTGTATGTGTGCTTACCAGACTATCTGATAGTGTGTATGTCTGTGTGTATATCCATACACATGGGTTTGTGTCTTCATATGCATAGATTGACTGCCAAAGCACTGACGTATGGCTATTAAACAGAGATTTTCTCGAGGATCAATTCCTTCATTGAAGTGTATGTGTCTTTGCAAGCGTGTCCATGCGCGCGCGTGTGTGTGTGTAGTATGTAAGTGTGCATGTGTGCTTCAGTAATTGTTGGCATCATGTGTGTGAAAAAGAAGATGATAAAGCAGCTGATTGGTTGTAAATAATAGAAATTGAATATCACATTGACAATTAAACCTCTATGGCTGTGCAACAAACTGATCAAAGTAGAAGCATTATGACCCCTGTGCCCATGTGTGCTCACATATAAATATCCAAGTGTATGTGTGTGGACGGTGTGAAAGTGTGTTAATGCAGCTCATATAAAAAGCTCCATGTGCTGAAGTCAGAGGTGTGTGTGTGTGTGTGTAGATGCATGTGTGCATATGTGAGTTGGGGGGTGAATAATTGAAGTCTTTCATTTGTCTGGTAATCAGTTCATTCTCGAGATATCCAGAGTTCATGAATGTTGAATAACCCATCACAATACAGTTGGCCTGAATTATGGAAAAACCTCCGGTGAGAATATTAACAAAGTCAAAGTGTGTGTGTGTGTGTGTGTATCTGTGTGGGTGTTTCTGTATGTATACATGTGTGTGTTTTTATCTGGTTGTGTGACGAAGATGCTAGGATTGTGAGGGCATGATCAGTCGGTTTTAAAACTCAAATATAGGCAAATAAGTCTACTTCTATTCATTCATATTTGAATAGAGACTATAGCTTAAAATTGTCAAATAAAAACATTTTATCTGAAGTTCACTATTTTCTAAACTAGAAACCACATAATTATGTCAAGTATGCAACACAGAGAAAGACTTTCTTTAAGAACGATACTTGGGTAACAAGTGGATGCCTAAATTCTGTCACATGGCGGTATTTAGGTATCACAGTTAGCATGGGTTTGAATAATTTCCTGTATGTCTCTCTCCTTTTCCACAGCTCAGCTCCACAGCAGTCAGCCTGTAAACTACAACATCCTGTTAAATCCAGGAAGTGACAACGCCTTAATGCATCATGCTGGCCCAGACCTTCACCTCACTGTGACGGGTCTACAGCCATTCACCGCCTTCTACATCAGAGTGCAGGCCTGTCAGAGTGGTTAGTATTTGATAACACTGATTTTGGAATAAAACATGAAATAACATTAATATTATCATTAGTTGTGCACTATAAAGAGACAATTTGGCAAAACTAAATACAAAAATGTTACACTTTTACTCTTGTGTGATGTTCTTCAAAGTTGAAACAGTGAAAACAGTCTATTAATATGCTTATTTCATCAATGTAGAAGACAACGGTTGACTTTTTTTGCCTAGAAATGTCTGCTTTGTGACAAATTGTTCATGTTTTGCACCTTGTAGATGGGTGTGGAGTTGGAGGGGAAGTGTATATTCGTACCTTAGAGACGGCCCCAGAAGGTCTGCTGCCCCCCACTGTGAAGGCAGCTGGAGCCAGTGTCCTGGAGATCCACTGGTCACCCCCACAACAACCCAACGGAGTCATCACATCCTACCATATATACAGGTAACCCATGACAACAAAAAACACTGAACATATACATAAATATGCATGTGAAGTACACTGAGACCAATGACCAGTGTCTGCCTCATTTTGTATTTACTCTTACAAATCAATGTGGAAATGTGATCACATTATTTACTCAGTGTATCACTAATGAACTAGAAGTAGCACACAAATGAAATTCACATACTATGCAAACATATAATTAGCTTTATAGACAAAAAAACGGATGATATGTGATCTATCTTCAAGCAAGTGTCTGCCTACGATTCTTCTTACTTTGTGTGTGTGTGTTTGCATCTGCGTGTATGTATTAATGCATGCTGAAGGTCGTGGTCTGCTTGTTGACCAAAGAGTGTGTGATCTGTATGCAGGGTCAGACCAGACTAAGCCCTTTAAGTCCTCCGGAAACACACATTAGCATAGAAGTTCACACACACACACTGACACACCTGGCATGATCAGACTCAGGCAGACAGGGACTTGGATAAAATAGGAAAATCTCTCTCACCTGAAACTCTACATAATCACAGACAAAGGGTCTTACCAAGACATCAGGATGCTTGCATCAGCCAGGGACTTAAACATGATGTTTAAGGCGTGATGATCCATTTTTATTTCGAATTCCACACAAACTAAGTGAGCTTATTTTTAGTACACTGAAGAATAATAAGATATACTAAAATAGCTATCTATAACATACTTGAAAATATACTTTGGCAAAAATCTCTAAAGCTATATCTCCAAAAGTCAACAACTCTAGATTGATAAATGGGATTAAAATATGGGGTGTTCTGTCCCTTTAAGTGTAACTTTTCAAATACTAATTACAATTTAGGAATTTCCAATCTAAGATAACTTTTAGTATATTTATTTATATAAACAAAAAAGTTTAAGTTTATTAAATTATATTGAACACATTTTGATGATGGCTAATCCAAGTCTTGATTCTGTTAAAGGCGTCCAGTAGGAACAGAGGAGGAGCTGCTGGTGTTCATCTGGTCCAGTGGGCCACTTGAATTTTTCGATGCCAGCCCCGCCCTGCGCCCCTTCAGCTTCCTCCAGTACAGGGTCCGCTCCTACAACTCCAAAGGCTCCGTGCTGAGCCAATGGGCTTTAGCTCAGACCCTACAGGCCGAACCACAAGATATGGCCCCTCCCACTGTCACGCCCACTGGTAAGTTCACCGAGTCACATACAATCTGCTGTTGTTCAAATGTTCCTGTATTGAATTACTGTAAAACTCCACACATTCTGTGCACTTTGACAGGCGCATACTCAGCCCATCTGAAATGGAGTGAACCGGGGCAGCCCAACGGTCTCATTTCCCATTATAGACTGGTTTACAAGAAGCACCAACAGGACCCAACGCTCAACTTAACTGCTGTTACTGCTCTCACTGTGGAGGTAAATGCACACTTACACAGAAAAGCACACACACAGTGAACGCTGGATGATGGGAGAATGGATGCGTTTAACTGTGAGTATCCTCCTTGATTAATGTTGTCATTTGGCCTTAGCTGCACATTCCCGCAGGATGTGCTATATGATAACATTTCTCACACAAGCAAACACTTATGACCACAAACCAAAACATGCCTTTACATGTACATGTATAATTTCATAGCATGTAAAAAAATGTATATCGCGGATATTTCCATATGGTATAAGTATACTATACATTACACATATGAGGGATTGTGTATGTGTGTGTCTATTGTCATTTGTGATGCATGTGAAGAAATGTGGACTCTACCTGTGGTGCCGGTGCCATCTGTTTACCAGTGAGGGGCCTGAAAACACGCGCACACACACACTTAGAGACACTTACGAACACACACACCCACTCACTGCCCATTGCCTGCTATTCTCTAGGGCCCTTCCTACAAGTTTGTGCCATTCTTTAGAACAGGAAATAACTCTACTCGAGCTAGCCCCCTCAAACCAAACACACACACAAACACACTTACACACAGAGACTAACTGTAAGTCCACACACATCCTACTGTTAACGGATGTTAACTTTTATAAATGTATGTTGAGTTCGCCCCCAAAGCTGCAATGGGGTATTCTGCAACAGTGGCAAGCATCCTCTCTGCACACCACCCCACACCTATCACTGAAAACAGACCAAAAGAGAAGGGAAGAAACAAAAACATCCAAAGAGATTAATAGAAATCCACAGATGAAGAGATCAAGGAAAAACAGAAAGGACGATAAAAGAAACATTGAAAAACTCACACTTCGAAAAAGAAATAAAAAATAAAAAAGGCCAAGAATAAGTGAGATCAAAAAAAGAGCATGGAGGGGGGAGAAAAGATAAGTGAAGGAAACAAGAGGGGGGTGAGACAGAGTGATAGATAGGGGAAAAAGGGAGAGGAGAGAAGAGGTAGATCTATATTCTGTCCATACCAGTGGCCTCTTCTCCCTCAGTGACCTTTGGCTTGTCACTCATAATTAATACAAGATGTAAATGGAGACCTTTCACCTTCTCATTGATATGGAGTGTGTGTGTGTGTGTGTGTGTGTGTGTGTGTGTGTGTGTGTGTGTGTGTGTGTGTGTGTGTGTGTGTGTGTGTGTGTGTGTGTGTGTGTGTGTGTGTGTGTGTGTGTGTGTGTGTGTGTGTGTGTGTGTGTGTGTGTGTGTGTGTGTGTGTGTGTGTGTGTGTGGTGTGTGTGTGTGTGTGTGTGTGTGTGTGTGTGTGTGTGTGTGTGTGTGTGTGTGTGTGTGTGTGTGTGTGTGTGTGTGTGTGTGTGTGTGTGTGTGTGTGTGTGTGTGTGTGTCTCTCTCATTGACATGGCAAACACTTATTTTGGTGGCGGTCATTTGTCATGCAGGTGCCTTCATCACATGCGCTCCGTTGTTTAGGAATACAAAGAAAGTGAAAATGAGAAACAAAGTTCTGACCAAACTTTCAAAGAGCAGCTCACATAGGATTCTGTGTATGGACTTTGTGCTGAAAATAATTACATAATAAAATACTTTACATAATAGATGTGTGACACCTAAAACTCTTATTAATTTGAGATTCAAGAGATGGGAAACAAGTAATTAAAATATATAATTTGATATTATATCGAGCTGGAAAGGGACATTGTGAGTACAATGTTTATAATAATAACAATTTATAATATCAAATACAATCGTAGATTCCTACTTTTCATAGATAAGGATAGTTTATCACAGGAACATATTTCTTTTTTCACCGTAAGGAGGGATTATGATAAGTTACATTAGGACCTCAACTTCCGATCTATATGACTCTTTATCATTATTTAGTTAACTTACAATTATCTTATCCATTCATTCTTTTTTGCTCATCATTTGTTAGTTTGTGGATGTATTATTTTGTGTGTGTGTTGCTTGTGTCCATATGGATGTGTGTGTGTGTATATTGATCTCAGGCTGGGCTGGGAACCCTGCTCTGTGCCAGCTTGGCTGATTAATGGGGTCGTCATGGCAATCGGACGGAATGAGGGTACGAAGCGCAGGCGGCCTGCCTCACTAGACCCCTACACGCTGCCTGGCACACACGCACACACACTCACACACACACACACACACACACACACACACACACTCACACACTCTCACACGCACACACATTCACTCTCCATGCTTTACACCTTTCTGACAGACATGTTAGTCCCTCACACAACCCTGTCAAGTTGTCTTTATTACATCATGATTCCTTTACTTTTCCTTTGCTTTACATTTGTCTTCATACTTTCCATCCCCCCTGGTTTATGTATCATTTTTCATTTCTTCTTCTTGATAACACAACATCCCTCCATCCAACTTTTTTCCCTGCACTGTTAACATTTCCCATGACATTTCTGGATTTAGATCGTTTTACTCTCACCAAATTCTGTCCAAGGGCTTCAGTGGGCATCTAAACGTCCACCTTTGTTTTGTGCTCCTATCCTCCCTTTGTGCCTCGTAACAATCCTCTCCTCTCTCAATCTTTTATAATTTATTTCTATTTACCTTGTTTTGTTCTTGCCTGTCCTCTCATTTTCTCCCTCCTTTTATGGTTTTCCTAATTCCTTCACTTACATCTCCTTTCACCCCAGCCTTAATTGCCTAAGCTTCTTTCCATCTGCTCTCTTCTCTCATAATTTACCTTACTTCCAAATGTAACCCTTCACTGCACTTCCTATATTTTCCCTTACTCCATTCCCTCCTCCACTCACTCTCCTCCTCTGTGTCTATAACTGATCTTCTCTCCCTCCATCCACATTTAAAACCCTCCTGCCTCCCTTGTTTCCCTGCCTACCACCTCCCTCATTCTCCTCCTTTACTCTTCTGTCCTCTCCTCCCTCCCTTGGCTCTTCCAGATGTTACACTGTGGCCCAGGGGATCACTGGTGAAGTTAGACCACGTGAATACATACGTGTGCGTGTGTCTGTGTGTGTGTTACTCTATCTGCATACATATGTCTGAATATGGTTGCATGTGTGCGTGCATAATATTTGTGTGTGTGTGTGTGTGTGTGTGTGTGTGTGTGTGTGTGTGTGTGTGTGTGTGTGTGTGTGTGTGTGTGTGTGTGTGTGTGTGTGTGTGTGTGTGTGTGTGTGTGTGTGTGTGTGTGTGTGTGTGTGTGTGTGTGTGTGTGTGTGTGTGTGTGTGTGTGTGTGTGTGTGTGTGTGTGTGTGTGTGTGTGTGTGTGTGTGTGTGTGTGTGTGTGTGTGTGTGTGTGTGTGTGTGTGTGTGTGTGTGTGTCAGAGTGTGCACGTGTGCTGTATTAATACATCCCATTGATCAGAGCAGGACCCCTGACAGTCATCATCCCTGAGAACCATCTGGCCGACGCCTGACGCTCCCTCACCCAAACACAAGCTGACACCCTATTAATCTGCTACCGCCATGCATACATGTGTGTGTGTGTGTGCGTATGGTTTAGTGTGTGTGAATGAATGAATCAGTGAGAGCGTGTGGCAGAGAGACTGTGTAATGTCTATGTAAGAGGTTATGTGTAGAGTATGCGTTTACATTTTTGCCATGTCCATGTTTCTGTGTACGTGTATGCGCCCATGTGTGTGTGTGTGTGTGCTTCAACCACAATCTGTGCACACATATACGAGTGTGTACACACACCACTCCGCCATCCGCCAACAACAGCCGGCGCTGAAGGGAGCTGAAGGGTGCTTGGAAATTAAGGTTATTACACAAATTGAGCCATATGGTCTAAATATTTCAGAGCTGAAATTTACTAGGCAATAAAAATGGCCCCTACCTCGGTAATGGTGTAAATTACAGCTTAACCACCAGCGCTAATGATGTCCTTCTGTACACCCCGTAACCAACCGTACATGAAGGACACATTGTTTAAAAAATACCCCAGGAAAAGCAAGAGAGAGAGAGAGAGAGAGAGAGAGAGAGAGGGATGGATGGAGAGGGAGGAAAAGGAAAGAAGGAGCAGGAAGGATGAAGTGAACATAGGTAAGAGGAAAGTAAAAGAGGGGAAAGAGGAGGAGAGTAAGGTAGGAAGAGAGATAGCTGGAGAGAAGGAGATGGAGAGAAAGAGAGTGATTAATAAAGAGAGTGGAGAAAGAGAGAGAGCTAGCAGCATGTTTACAATCTGTTAGTTTAGCATTAAGAGCCCGTCAGAGAGCGCGGGACAGCGAGGGCCAGCCGGCGAACTGTGTCTCAAAGCCGACCTGAGGTTTCAGTGTGTGTGCGTGTGTCGCCTGCACAGTGAGAATGTGTGTATTCAGGCATGCGCAGTTATATATACATATAAAACATATAAAAAGACATGATGGTCTGCAGGTGTGTGGAGAAACATGTAATAGTGCTAAACACATTTTGGGGGCACATTCTAGGAATATACGTAGATGCCTTGTTTGCAAATATGTGTGTGACACATAGGTTTTCTTGGATATGAGGATGTGAGGATACAGTTTTGCCATTTAATACGTGAGACAAAAGCATCACTAAAAGGAGTGAAAAAACCTCAGCTGGTATGTTTCCTGGTTGAGCCAACCTGAAGTAAAGAAGTTGTTTAACTGTTTGGGAAATGTACATACTTCAGTTCCTTGCTTGGATTAAGAAAAATAAAATGTATACCACTTTTCTATCTGTTGGATAGATATCTGGAGCCAGCAGCGATTTAATGTAGTTACAGTGACTTCAAACAGGGGGAAACTGCTAGCTTAGCTCCTACCAAAGGTGATCCTTTATACATTCTTTGTGTGATCCATACAAAACCAGAAGTATAAAGACGATGAAGATGTTGTTATCGGCCTATTTCTACATCACTACTTCTTTGCCTGGAGAAATGACTTTTTTGAGTCTATACTGATGCCTGAAATCCTCACGCTGGCAACAAGACAGCAAACAAGCATGTTTCTTAAAACACCTTTAATATGTATCCCCTAGATCAGGGGTCACAAACTAGACACTT